CATAACAACCTTAAATTTTGATGACCCTTGAACATATCTTCAAAATACCTACAGCAAAAGCTACAAGGAGAAATGGTCAATACCTCTTGCAATAACTGACTGAAGAGCAGGACTCTTCACCAGATCAGTAAAGATGCAAAAGACTGAACAACACAACACGACACCTATGGAACAGAACACCCAACGAACGCAGACTATGCTTCCTCTTGAAGTGCAAACAGAACACTTACCAAAACTGAATATATGCCGAGCCATAATGCAAGTCTCAACAAATTCCAAAGAACCGAAGTCATTCAGAGCATGTGCTTTAACCACAGTGGAATTAAGCTAGAAATCAGTAACAAAAAGAAAACTAGGAAATTCCCAAATATTTGCAAATTTAACAATGCACTTATAAATAAGCCAAGGTTGAAGAAATCACAATTGGAATTATAAAATATTTTAAACTGAGTGATAATGAAAAAGGCCTATCAAAACTTGTGACATATAGCTAAGCACTGCTGAGAGGCAAAGTAATTCAAAGAACAGATGAAAACCCAGGATCTAAAGACCCACCCTAAGAAGGTAAACCACAGTAACAGAGCAGCAATTTAAACCCAAAGAAAAAGAAATAAGAACAGAAATAAATGAAAATCACCAACCAAAAAGACAAATATTGGTTCTTGGCTGATGAAAGGAAAAAGACTGAAAGGCATAAATTGCTAACCCAGAAAATGAAAAATGGCAATCGCTGCTGTTCCATGGCATTAATAAGATAACAAGAGGATATTATGAATAATTTTACATCAATACATATGAAAATTCAGATAAAATAAATTCCTTGAAAAAGACAATTTACCAAAAGAGACACAATAATAGCAAATCTGAATAATTCCGTTATCTAACTAAAGAATGTGAATCTGGCCTTTCTGGCTCTCTGAGCATCACCACGACACTGGGCAAGAACAAGTGTCTCCTGAAAGGTGGCAAAAACGGAGCCAAGAAGAAAGCTGTTGGTCTGTTTTCTAAGAAAGATTGGTATGATGTGAAGGCACCAGCTATGTTTGATATAAGAACCATTGGGAAAACGTCAGTCACAAGAACTGTAGGGAACAATCCCATCTGATGGACTCAAAGGTCATGTTTTTGAAGTGAGCCTGGCTGATCTGCAGAATGATGGTGAGTCTAAAAAATTCTAGCTAATTACTGAGGATGTTCAGGGCAAAAACTGTTTAACGTCCATGGCACGGATCTTAACTGTGACAAAATGTGCTCCATGGTCAAAAAATGGCAGACCACGACTGAAGCTCACTCATGCTGATGTCAAGACTACCAAAGGTTACTTGCTTTGTCTGTGTTGGTTTTGGGAACAAGTCCAACGAGCAGATTCTGAAGACCTCTGACGCTCAGCATCAACAGGTCCGCCAAATTCGGAAGGAGACGATGGAAATCACGCCCCGAGAGGGGCAGACAAATGACTGGGAAGAAGTGGTCAGTAAAGATTAATTGATAAATTGTCAGTCTATTTATCTGCTCCATGATGTCTTTGTCAGAAAAGTCGTAATGCTGAAGAAGCCCAAGTGTGAACTGGGAAAACTCATGGAGCTTCACGGTGAAGGCAGCAGCCTTGGAAAAGCTACGTTGAGGCGAGACGGTGCTCAAGTGCAACGAGCTGATGGATATGCGCCCCGGTGCCAGAATCTGTTTAAAATTCAGACTTTTCAAGGTAACAAAACCTATTTGTGATGTTTAAAAAAAAAAGTGAATCTGTAGTTAAAAACCTTCCTATAAAGGAGGCTTTAGGTTCCATAGCTTCACTGGTGAATCCTTTCAAACTTTTAAATAAGATATAATGCTACACTTTGATGGTTGCCTGATGGGAGGGGGGTTTAGGGTGGTGGAAAAGGGAAGGGATTAAGAAGTACAAATCAGTAGTTACAAAATAGTCAAGGGGATGTAAAGTACAGCACAAGAAATATAGGCGATAATATTGACAACTATATGTTGTCAGATGGATACTAGATTTATCGGGGTGATTGCTTTTTAAGTTATATAAATGTCTAATCATCATGCTGTACACCTGAAACCAATATATTATAGGCCAAGTATAACTAAAAATTTTAAAAAAGAAAAAGAAATAATGCTGATATTACACAAAGGACAACATGGCCCAAGACTTTCTATAAAGCTAGCATAACCCTGATACCAAAACCTGACAAGGATATTACCAAAAACAACAACAAAATGCTAATGACAAGCCGATCTTTTACACGAACACAGTTGTAAAAATCCTAACAAAATATTGAAAAAACCAATTCAGCAAAAGTGATGTTTTTATCATCATCAACTTGGGGTTATGCCAGAACGCAAAACTGGATTTATATTTGAGAATCAACATATTACAAAAAAAAAATACATATCAATACCCTTTATGAATAGATGTAAAAATCCTAAAGAAAATACTAGCAAGCCAAATCAAGCAACATCTAAAGAGGATTACATACCATGACTAAGTGAGATTTATCCCGGAAATAACTATTGGCTTAATATCCAAAATTCAATTAATGTAATTCATGCTATCATAAAGGACAAAAGCCATCTGATGATCTCAGCAGATTCGGAAAATGCAAGTGACAAAATCTAACACCCTTTCATAATAAAAAATACACACTAGGAACAGAAAGAAACTTTCTCAACCTGATAAAGACCCACAATAACACGAAAAGGAACAAAACTGGAGGACTCACATTTCCTGATTTCAAAACTTACTACAAAGCTACAGTAATCAAGCCAGTGTGGCATAAAAACAGGCATACAGGTTAAGAGAGTAAAACTGAAAGTCCAGAAATAAGTTCTTACTTTTATGGTCAACCGATTTTCAACAAGGGTATCAAGACCATTCAATAGAGAAAAATTAAATCTTTTCAACAAGTGGTGTTAAGAACAACTGGATATCAACAGGCAAAACGATGAATGTAAAATGGTACTGCCACTTTGGAAAACAGTTTAGCAGTTCTCCCAAAATGTCAAATACAGAGTTATCATATGACCCAGCAATTCCACTCCTAGGTGTGCACCCGAAAGCGCGAAAAACAGGTGTTTAAACAAAAACCCATATGTGAATGTTCACAGCACTACTGATAGTAGCCTACAAGTAGCACCAATCCAAATATTCAACTAATACATGGTTAAACAAAGTATGGTATATCCATACAATGGAATATTATTTGTATGAACCTTAAAAACATGCTAAGTGAAAGAAACTAGTTGCAAAAGATTACATATTATTATGATTCCATTTATATGAAATGTCCAAAAAGGTTCAAGCAATCAGATGTTATTAAAAAACAAACAACTGCAAAAGATTACATATTGTTATGATACCATTTATATGAAATGTCCAGAAAAGGTTCAAGCAATCAGATGTTATTAAAAAACAAACAAACTATTCCACTTGGCGCTAAGGGCGGATGGGTTATAATGAGGTATTATTTTCTAAATAAGATGCCTGAAAGAACAGACCATCACTTTCTAGGTTAGGTATTCACTAAAACTGCCCAGCTACATTGGTATCTAGTGGCTCAAGGTAGTAAGCAAG